TTATTAACAGAATAAACACAAACATTTCCCAAGTAGCTCGGTTTAAAAACTACATTTCCCAGAAAGCCCTATTAACGTCGTCTCTGTAGCGCCGGAATGAAATGATCATTAAATAATTATCCAGGTTATTTTAAAACACGCTTTTCACAACATTTCACTATTTTGTTTTAAATTCCTACATAATTGTGTTTTTTAAAAATATTTTTTCAATTTCATATCTAGTAAAAATAATTACATTTTAGTACGTTTGCGTTTTGTTCCGGAGTTACGACGGTCAGTCGAAAGCCATCCGGAAGAATCCCGAGAATCTGATTATCGTCATAGCAAAACTAGATACCTAAACTTGTGATCATAAAAAGTGTTGTATTTTACAATAAAAGACAAAAATAATTTCACAAGAAAGGACATTTAAACGACACGCAAAATGTCGTCGGAGGAATTCGAGAAGTTGCACGAAATGTACCGATCGTTGTACGAGGAGCTGAAGCTGATGCCAGATAAGGCTCAGAAATCTCACGGAGGTAATTGCTTGCTCATAAAGCCCAGATCAAAATAACTACGCCTTAGAATATAAGTTATGTGCTTTTTAAGTAACACTTGTACTGTCACTCCTGCAGAGGAGAGGAAGAGGCTGGTGAGGACCTTCGATGAGAGACATGGGGAGGCTGAAGAAGTGGTGAGCTGTTTATCTTTTTCCCCATTACAGCTAGCTAAAGTTCACTTGACTACTAGCTATGACATTTTCATGTGAATACACTTAAATTGAGCTTGAAATGAACTTTTAAAGAAATTTTCCACCAGGGAAATAGTGAATTATCAAAATAATACATGCGTTTGTTGTGCAAATAACACTTGTTCAATACAAAATGGAAACATAGTGTACGTTTTACCCCCCAAAAGGAATTTTTCGCTTGTCCAGTCTTTCTGGTAACCACAGTGCATTTCAAGTAAAACAGTGAAGTTAAAAAAAACAACTTTTATTCTTTTTATTTTGTTGACACAAACCTTTTATAATTGTTATTCCATCTTTTAACATCAACATATTTTAAGTAGTCATTTAAGAATTATGCACTGCAAATTATGTCCCACAACATATGTGCAAACCTGTTACCAATACCTGTTTAACCTGGAAAAGGACGGGACAATGAGAAACATGGCAATGATGATGTTTCATGATTGAGTCTTGTGCTAGCACCAGCGTTGGATATTTACTTATACATATTTTGTTTTTTTCCTCCAAGATTCTGACCTTGTTACCTATAATATTAAAATCTGAGTGGTGTTTCTAATATGTTGGCCATCACGTGTATAAGAATAAAACCGAAATAGAAGAACCTCTAATTAAGTTTAGTATTCTAAGTATGCCCCATTTTTAACTGTGCATGAATTCAAATGTCACTGAAATGTTCTGGCTTACGAAGGTTAAGCCTAAACTAGTAAATAAATTGATAATATATGCTTGTTTCTATAGAGTAAGATCCTTTTCTGTCTTTTTCTCAAACAATAACATTTTCTTGTCTTTCTCCAGTTACAAGGAATGGAAGAGGAGCTGCGCGGTGCCCCTCCGTCCTATCGAAATTCAATGAGCACAAAACTGCGTATGTACCGGCGAGACCTCGGCAAGCTTCAGAGGGACATGAAAAACTCAGCACCTGGCTTTGGCTCCTCGTACAACACAGTGCCAGGAAATCATGGCATCTACTCTTCACAAAATCAGCACAGTGTGAGTTAGGGGCTTTGGGGTGCTTGGGTTTGCTGTTGCAGACGTGTGACAGGCCCCGTCACGCGTCTGTTTCGATGCACAAAACATTATTTTATGTTGCTGCTGTTATGTCAAACTGCATTTCTAGGGTAAGATTTTTTCTGGGTGTGTGTGTTTTTTTTCTTCCTCTTTTTGCTGAAGAATATCAGTGCGCTGTAACATAAGAAAAAATGCAATTAGGAGACACACAAATCAAGAAAACATCTTCATCAATTTGAAACCAAATCCTCTGAACTTATTAAGGCTTATTTTTCAGCAGCACTTACAGATCCAGACTGTATTAGACTGAGAAAAATGTCAACCCTGTTTCCTAGTGATCGTTGTGGATGTCTATGTAACTGTATTTCCAGAATAAATCTGCTTAAACTTGGTTTCATTTGTCCCTTTTCCCCATCTTTGCAGACACACCTGCAGTCCCAGAGAGCATTGCTTCTTCAAGGTACGGATGCTCTAAATAACGCCAGCCAGAGTATTGAGCGCAGCCAGCGCATCGCTGCTGAGACGGAGCAAATTGGCACAGATATCATCGAGGAGTTGGGAGAACAAAGGGAACAGCTGGATCGAAGCAGAAACAGAGTGAGCTGAGAATCATTATTACGCTTGTATTCTTGTACTGTGCTGTGCAAAAGTCTTTAGCCACCTGTGATGTCTATTTGTCACTGACCTATGAATCGTTTAAGCTTAAAAAGGCACCTAAATCAGAAATCAGAAAGGGTTTTATTGCCAAATGTTGAGCGGGTTTACAACATTAGGAAATTGCTGCGGTCAAATCAAATGATGAACCAGTGTTGATGTGTCTACACGTGACAACTTATCACAAAAACACATTATTAGTTTCTAATTTTTTTTAGTTAAATATGGAAAAATGCCAAATATAACACAGTTCAACAGGCATAAAATAATATTTTTGCACTAAAAATGTGATTTCCAAAGAGCTACTAGCTGTCAGCTTGACATATCTCACTATCCTGTGCAGTCCTTAAAAAGTTTAATGTAACTAAAACTTTAAATATTAACTTCCAAGCTCATTAGCATTTTAAAAACTCTGTTTTTACCTTATGTGCTGTATTTTCATGCATGTTTGCACGTTTTAATAAATCGATGCATATATTTCTTTCCATCCTACAAAACTATAAAGAAACGAATAGTGGCTCAAGACTTTGGCACAGGACTGTATGATGACGATATGATCTGAGATTAGTAGGTTTGTTAAAACTCTTCTGTTTTGTTGTTTTTGTAGCTTGCGAATACTGGAGAGAACCTGAGTCGTAGTAGAAAAATTCTTCGTGCCATGTCAAGGCGGTAAGTGCACCCTACAAAGACATCTTACACCACAGTAGTTCCTTATTTTTTTGTGTGCGTCTCATGATCCTGATGATTGGGGTCTCTTTTAAATGTTCTTGGAACATTTGAGCATATTGAGTGTAAGCATCTTATTGTTGCTTCTTTTCTGTCTTACAGGCTGGTGACAAACAAGTTGCTACTGGGCATCATCATTTTAATGGAACTGGCCATTCTGGGTGCTGTGATTTACCTGAAGTTTTTCCGAAAATGAGCAGACTTACATTTAAGTTGTGGATCCAGGGCAAACTCAGACTTTGTCTCTACTGACTATCCAGTAGCAATAATAACACTGTCCTGCTGTTTTCAGCTATCTGTGTCTGTGATGGCAATGAAGGCCTGAACTCTGACAGGGCATTCTGTCCATTATTTGATGTGAATGGCAATTTGCCAACTTGCTAATGGACCAAACCTACAGAAGCTCTTTGAACTTAGATTTGCACTGTCACTTGATGCCATTGATGTCCTGCAGGATGATGATCTGGACTTGTCTGCTGGCTGTTACAGATCCCATGGATGATTCTTTGTAGCATCTTAGCTGAGTCAGAAAACAAGCTAATTGAGCCCACATGTCTCTCTGGGTGAAAGCACTTGTGAAATGTGACTGAAAGTTCTAGAAAGCTATAAGTCTCAGATTGGGTTACAAAACTGCTCAAATTCAACTGCTGATGTATGAATATCTTTTACAATATGATGAAAAAGCACCTAACAAAATACTTTCTTTTCTGTGTTTAAGTGGTTGTGTGCTTAAAAAAAGACTTAAGTTTTAAATGAGATATATCAGTGAAATAAATTAATGCAATGTCTTAATACAGTTCATGCAAAATTACTGTACGATTCAAAAATCACTGTTATAAATAGGTTTTTGGTTTCCGATTTGATGTCTTTCGCAACATTAAAGTTGATCTTTAACCTCAGTTTGCATCTGATATTTTTAAGGAAGGAAGCCAAACAGTTAAGAAAAATACTCTGTGGAAGCCCTGATCAGGTAATAAAGGGTAAACAGCACCTGTTACCATAGAGTTGATTCTCAAATAACTGACCATATGGTGATTTCCAGTGGTGTTAAGGGAAACGGTACACCTGCTGCAATGTTTTTCTATTCCATCATGCCCACCTGGTGTGTTCTAGAGTATACAAACAAGTTTGGTGACCTGGTTATGTATGACAGGGACATTGTAGAAAGAAGGAAATATAATTTTAATGTGTTAAAATATTACCTTCGAATTTCTTTAAATCCTTTCCGTCTTCTTAAGCACAAAGGGAACATTCTAGGGTTTTATAACCTAATTTAAAATAAATCTCTTTCAACAAAAAGCCAGGATGCTGTATAAAATACAAATGCAAACAGAATGCAGAGATTTACTTAAAAAATAATACTCAGATAACTTTTCCATTTTTTTCCGTGCTCACATGTGTCCAACAACGAAATATGGCAAATATTTTCAGTGTGACATGATTGGATTGCAGGCTGGCTGGTTTAGCACTTTCGAGTAGGTACGGATACATATGCTACTGTCATACATACAGGGTGTGTTTGGGTATGGTCTTTCTGAAATACGAAAGATCTTACCCGAAAAATACTATGTTCCTGTGCTATTTTTTTTTAAAGAATTAATATGACTAATATCTTTGGTAAATCCCCAGCTTGGTGGGGAAATGTAATGATTTCTATTTAATCATTCTATTTCACAGTGGGGCGTGTTGACTACTCTTCCAGTCCAATGTACACCATAGAAGAGTAACCATGAGGTTCAGGTTTAGGTTAATTAACGTGAAATGTGGTAGGCATTCATGTTCATCCTCAAGGTGATTCTTTGGTTCTTCATTTATTGCATTCATCAATTAAAGCAATATATTACTTTGATCACAAAATAATGAGGAGATAAGACACACGTAGAAACAAACAAAAAATTTTAATCATATTAAAGGAAGACCAAAATAGAAGCTCTTTGTTACAAGGACAATAGTCATTCAGTAGCCAAATTAAACTAAACATAGATAACAAGCCATACTTTAGTTCACGCATAATGATTCAAATAGTTATTACTTTTTCCAGGGATGCTGAAATAGTGGTGCACAAATCACTATAGTCCATGTATTGATTCACAGTAAAAATACAAAAGTAAACTCTAAAGAAAATACAGTAACTACAACTATCACAGAAGTGATAGCATACTTCTAGTTTTAACTAACTGGCACAGCCACAAAACAGTCTAAAGTAGACTGTGAACTTCAATCGTCCATACTCAATACTTTTTGTACCGCTGATGCACACTAATTCTCTCATAAACCAAACATGATAGATACTTGGCAGCTGTGGCAACGCACACCTAAGATTAACCACCCACCCATCATTTCTTAGCCACTTATTGGAGGTTTGCAGTGTGCTATCAGAGATAGCCAGACAAGTTATTACACATAATAATAATAATAATAATAATAATAAAATAAGTTAGTATTGCTGTATCCCCAATAGCTGTATTGGTGTCTAAATTCTGTCAAAGACGTTTCTCAGCATTATCAATATGAAGAAAGATTATGCAAAGCCCTTTCGTAGTTTCATGAATCCCGACATAATTTAGCTTTCAAAGTGAAAGACCAAGCAGCAGAAGAAAAAAAAAAGCTTTAAACTGTCACCTTTCAAATAGATATAGTCTTTGCAGTATTGTATTTAAATCTGTGGAATGGTCAGGGATGACAGTGTTGAAGTCCATAGCTTTGCTTCATGCCCTTAGAGGCGAAGCTCTGTGTCGTTTTTCCCAGGGGGAATTTCGTCCATGGATGTGTGAGCGCCTTCTCTCGTCTGTCCCAGTGATGATGCAATGACATCAACTGCTAACGTGGCAGTAGCCTCCACAGCTTCAGGACTTGCCCCAAGGTCAGGATTTACTTCTACCATGTCCATGACTGACAGCAGACCTGCACACCAAGATGATGACAAGTTAGATTCGAAAGCCAGACAGTCAAAGACCTTTAAGAAATCTAGAAAAGACCAAAGGAAATGAAAGCCATAACTGTAGTGATCTGTACCTGTGTTATGAATTTCCTCTGCGATGTAGATTCCCTCTCTGTAGGTCAGACCTCCATTTACCGGTGTTCCTGTGGCGGGAGCCAGAGACGGGTCGAATGCATCGATGTCAAAGCTCAAGTGTATTGGTCGTTGTTTTCTGTCAGGATGGTAATAAAATTCAACATCTCAGTTCAAACATCTATAACTGTTTTTTGTATAAATTAAAAATTGAAAAATTAAGAACATTTTTAGTGTTATCATTTTAAAATCTATTATAATCACAATCTATTAATAATAATACCTTGCCAGAAGATGGTCGAAAGTGACTTCCATGACCCTTTGGATGCCTAGTCTGTCGATATCTCTCATGGTGAAATACTGGATACCAAAGCTCTTGAGGAATTGGCTGCAATGCACAATTTTAAAACACATCAAGACCTATGTTTCAGAGTGCACCCCAGTTTCGTTTACTAAAACGTTTTAAATGTAAGTACTTACTACTCCCCAGGGTCAACATCCCGCAGTCCAATGTACACCAGGTCTCTTGAGCTGAGAAATGGCTTAGTCCAGGAGAACCCAGGGATATCTGGCATCTGGTGAGTGAAAAGAGGTTGTTTAATATGTCATACAGGATACTAAAAAAGCAATAATACTTTTTTAAATTAACAGAATCCCTTTTGTAAGTAGTGTTTTAATATATCTTTAGTGAAGCTGAATGTTTTTCCTCACCTTGTCTTGCAGCTCTTTGAGCATGAATGCCACAGGTTGGCCATGGAGGTTTCCTGAAGGGGAGGTCATAGGGGTATTGATATCTGCATGAGCATCAACCCAGATAAGGCACAGGTCAGGACTATGCTGGGCATGGCCGCTCACTGATCCAACAGCAAGGCTGTAACAGATGTAGAGCAGCTTTAAAGATATCTGTGCAATGGATTCATAATATTAATACAAACACTGGACTTGTTGTACAGAGTAGGCTATCTTGTAGTATTGCCAATATTTTCTGTTCCTACCTGTGATCACCTCCCAGCATAAGAAGAGTGTGGCCAGCACTGACAGCATTCCTCACTGCTGCAGACAGCTTTTTATTTGCTGCACCCACAGTCCGCGGGAACTTTACATCCATGTAGGGCTCATCCTCCTCCAGGTGTTGGAAGTTCAGATCCCCAAAGTCATGGACAGAAAAGTCTAAAAACACAACAACAAACATCCATACATTTAAACTACTTTGTGCTGTGTCACATTTGCTGCAGTTTAAAATGACTCATTGAACGGGAGTGCACTATTTTCTCAGGAAATCTGAACAACGGAACTGGTAACCTGACGGCTTCAAACAGCCTGAGGATTTGTAATTAGCAGACGTGGTATGTGCAGGTGTCAGTTAGGCAGCCTACATAATCCGTAGCTCCCGTGACTTAACACGCGTTTCTCTGACCTTGCACTCTCATGGGTTTGAGTCATTCAATGCCAGTGGAACTAGTGACGGAGCACTTTCCATTAGTCTTGTTTCCCACATTGGGTCAGGTTTCAGTGACTGTAGTTTGCCTTATACTACGTGGTTGCAGAAGATTTAAAAGTTTAGATATAGACTGCGAAGTAAACAAGTGAAGTGTTTCACCATATTAGGGTTCATCCAGCTATATGAGCCTTGATGGTAGTGTAGTATTACTCTGCTGATCCAAGGGTGACCAATGCGGTTCATGACCATTCGTAGACAGGACAGGAATAGCCCTTGTTTGATGCAACAGTGAGCATCTCTTGCAAGACAATTCATAAGTTTGTCAAAGGGATGAGCTTTTAAATTTTAAATGCAAGATTACAAGCGCTATTATTCATATGTAAAGGCATGTTAAATGTTTGTAAATGCCAGTGATTATTGGTTTGATTATATCTATATATTTTTAATTTAAACAATTTGTACAAATTGACAGGAAACCTAGAGAGTGTGAAGATGTAAGAGTACATGGCAGCTACTTCTCTTAGTGTTTGGTTTCATGTGTCCTCCTCTGTTAGTGACATAGCAGCTAGATCTTATTTCATTGCTGCCAATTTGGCCACCAGGGAATTGATTCCTGGCCAACATTTTACATTAGATTACATATATTCAGGTTTTATTTTACTTTTTATAAACCACCTTGTGATAAACATCAAGGTTGTTACTATAAAACTTACAACAGTATCTTTGAGATTCAGCAACATAAGAACAAACTGATGAGTGTGTGTATATATATATACACTCATTTGATACAGTTCAAGGTATTTTGGACAATATAGTCATATGTAATTGTGCAGCTCCACTTAGTGGCCATACAGAAAATGAAAGTAAGCCAGTGACGCACTGTATAATGTATGTGTAACACAAAGGGAGCGCTCTTCCCTTTGCACAACATGTTTACGCCTCATGAGCTGATGTGTGGAACAGAACAAACTGGATTACCTGGGTAGTTAGGTAAGGGAAGTTAGGAAGTTACAACCTAAAGGCCTGCATTAAGCTGCCATTGTCACACACCTTCATTGGTTTTTCTGTTATATTTATAGAGGCAGGAGCAGTTTGTGGTGCAAATGGGGATTCTGGTGAGCTAGGAAGTATCACGACAGCAGATTTCCATTTCATGTTACTTTTTGGGCAAAATTTTAAGACATTACTTTGGACATTTTGAGTATATTTATTAAGCATAAAACAGATTAATTTGAACTACCTTTACTACAATAATTAATGGAGGCCATCATGATTTACATTGTGTTTGTTCCATGCACAATATTAATCTACATTAACCTGATCACTCCAAAGGTAATTAACTATGTCTGGTTCACAGATAGAATTTAAGTACCCTGGGATAGCTGTGACCTTATCATGGCCTGTTAAGAACTGGCAGGCCCTCCTCTCTTTATTCATGAATCCTTAGTGGAATTTCAATAACAATGGCACCTCGCTGACATGCGCACAGAGGGGGTTCTTTTCACCTGCTGTGCCTTTCACGTTAAAGGTACCACTTCTTTTCACACCGGACTGCGTGGTTGTTTTCATTTGGACCACATAAAAAGTAAAAGTGTCTGTCACTGCAGTGACGACATAATGGAAATAACACCGTCATCTTCATTCTGGGCTCTTACGAGCATGTGCCAGAACGGCGGTGGGGGGTTGGGGCCAAGAATGAATGAGCAATAGGTGTAATTTCTCACGAGAAGAGCGAGACGCCGGCGTGCCATGTTGACAGTTATCACAATGTCCGCCTGTATTGTCTCGTCTTTCCGTCCTATGCATGAGTTTCTAGCCATTATACAATAACATTTCGACGAGGATTAACATCAAACATCGGAGAGGATGTTCGAGGTTTCTCTCTTTGACTGGCTTTAATATGGCATTAAACATGCACAAATATACATTCGGGAGCCTATAAATAAGTCTAGTTTTACATCCTATTTTATTACACGACGTTTTATCCTGTAAAACTAATGACGAAAGCCTCAAACTGGACTCGCGCGTAAATCACTTTGTTCTCCGAAACATGTGCACCAAATCTCTCTCATTGGTTACATATCATTTGTTTATATTTACTTTCTCCCGATTATGTAACAGACTGACTGACGACCGAGCGCTGAAGATATGTCTGTCTAAAAGTCTGCCGGGTTAAGCTGCAGGTTACACCCACCGACAAGTTACATAACCCAGCACCACCGGCAGCTCCAAGATTACGACACTTACCAAAATTTGAAAGCCTCTCCATGAGCCCCGCATCCCTGATGACTTTAGGGCCATGCTCCACACCTCTCTTTTTCTGTAGGGAAGAAAACATGGGAGTTGTTAAACTGTTAAAGATGATAGGCTCTTTAAAAGTAATGATAATACTAAAAAAAAACCTCAATATCTTACTTGTCCTTTTGAAAACGGAGCGCCAAGCACGGCCACCGAATGAGCTCTGCTTTGCTGGTAAGTATGGTTGAAATGACGGGAAGAGTGGGAAAGACGGGAAAGTGCTCCTCTCAAAGCCATTCTCGGAAATTAAAAGTCGCCCCGGTCACAATGAAACCGACTCGGAGTCTGACGAAAGCTCAGTGAGATGTTGCGCCCGAGGATGCTGAATGTGTCGTTGGTGCAGGAAAGGCGGTCTTTATGACTCGTCAATCTACTGAATATTTATGAGACTGTGACTCCGACAACGAATACGAAGAGATCTCCTCTTAATTCAGTCATAAAATTAAAAAAAAAAATCTCTGCCACCTACCATAAAAAGCGTAATTTCTTTTAAGCGTTTGCAATGTGTTATGAGTTTTTATTACCGAGGCACGTCTTGATATATATATACAGCGTCTGACGTCAGGTTGAATGACACACCTTCGTAGTAGCCAATAGCAACTATGGAAGGAAGTGGGTTCGCTTTTAGGCGTGTCCTGGAAACTGATGTGGGCCAAGGGGTGTTTTGTGAAATGTTGGGACGCACTGCTGCAGTGTCATCAAAGTGGAAATTTCCACAGACGCAGCGTAGTGTAATGATCCGCTTGTTTACATTAAACGCTCTTGACCGAGGTGTTTGTCCACGCGTGTTCTAAAGCTCCTGCCAAAACATATCCCACTTGATTTCTGGCCAACATAAAAACATGTTATTATCTGGGTTAGTGTATTATTACGGGGTTTATCTTTCACCACCGCAAGAAATTTCACACTGTAAAGCAATAACAGAATCTCAAGTGCAAGTTATCATAGGCAATTAACTGAAAGTAAAATGGACTTAAACAGCAAAGATTTCTAATAAATATAACGAGCGATTGTTTTATTATTTATGTGTATTTACTTGATGAATTGCAGTTAGTTTATAATTATAATTTTATTTTACAAGTAAAGGAACACAGTGCTTCGCGGACTTACTCTGTTTCCTGTCGTTAAAGTGAAACTGCGGTTTATTACTGTTAATTCGTTGTTGTAGTCTTGTCAAGCTATGATGAATCCACTATATCTTATCTTTATGTACTCGGATTTTCTTCCAAGCACGATGCACGGCGTTCAGCTAAAATTATTTACATCACAGGCAACACAAAGATAGCTCGGAATCATTAACATGGGCTATTGTGGGTACAAAGTAGTGCATTTCTAAACTTCAAGCCTAATTGCAAATCCTAACCCTAATCCTCACCCTAACCCACTGAGCGGTTCTAGGCGAATCAAGTGCAAGAGTTTTTCTTCTGACGTCATTAGCCCACCTCAGATGCATGACTGTGGCATGACTCAGTGAACAAAAATGAACATACTGTACTACGAAACAGAGGTTAATATTAAGGTAACTTCGTGATTAACCCTGTGGTGTCTGTACTATGAAGGAGGTTCACGTCTTAACAGGGTATATCACTATGGTAACTAATGAGCAAGTATGAAATCCCTGCCAAGTAATAAATTTTCACTAGCGTCTAATTTTTTTGCGTCCAAGATAACTTGATCCTATGATCCTAAAGCATATATTTGTACTTGCAGACCGTAGGGTACATAAAATTTGGACGCAGACACCCAGGCTAGAGCTGGGGTAATATAAACTAAACTGTCATTTAATAAAATACTCGATTGTGAACCATTAGATTCTCTTGTTGTAATATAGCTGTCTGTTAACTCGAATAGATGGACAGCTTTCTTAACGGGCTTTAAACAAGCTGAATTTTATTAATACGGTAGCTCCGCATTCAGATAGTACAGGGTGGGCCATTTATACACCGTAATAAAATGGGAATGGTTGGTGATATTAAAGTCCTGTTTGTGGCACATTAGTATATGTGAGGGGGCAAACTCCTCAAGATGGTTGGTGACCATGGTGGCCATTTAGAAGTCGGCCATCTTTGATACAACTTTTGTTTTTTTCAATAGGAAGAGGGCCATGTGACACATCAAC